TGGTGCACCTCTACACTTTTTCCATAGTGCACATAGCAAGTCATACCATGCCAGAAGTCCACAGACATCTACTCAACACAGCATTAGTGAGTCACGTAAAAAAAGTACCCAGGCTAAGGCATTTCGGCTTGTCCTGGTTCTAATCATAGCTGGACAATCTGCCCCAGGAGAGATGAAAAACATAATAACCGGGGAAGAAATTGGGAAAACATACCGCAAAAACACCGAGATTGGCTTCAAACAGCTCCAGATTTTGCTTTGAGAATCATCCACTTCATGTCTGGTCATTTATACATTCCAAGGATCATACCAATAACAGGCTGACCCCACCCCAGGAACATCCGCAGAGCCTCGACTTTGGTTCCGGTAGTGAGGTGTTGAGTGTCCATCACCATGTCGGGCACGTTTTCATCATAAGTTGAAGTACATGGCCATCCAAAGCAGGGTCATCTTCCATCTTCTCGTTGCCACATTTTGAATTCCATTGCCCACTGTTTCACTATGGCATGAGAAGAGGCATCTGCCCCCCCAAAGTTTCCCTCTGGCCTCATTTCTTCTTTTGCGTTGGTATTGGATCACCATTCCCTTGGCGTCCATCCTTCCATATGGTGTGCACTGGTCTCCATTCACTGCCTCCACACCTGCAGGGTACCTAGTTACATTTACAGGGCTATTCACAAAAGTGTTGAAGAGTTTGGATGAAGGCCGGAGAAGTGAACAATCTAGAACAACAGAGCTGCCTTCTCCAAACTCTTCACCCTCTTGTGAAATAACGCTGCTAGTGTTGCTGCCCCCAGGGGCACCCCCCGAGCCTTTTTGCTGCCTGAGACCATGGGTGGTGGGGAGGGGTGCTGTATGATGCACAACCAACAAGGGGGGGTTGCTGCTGGTAGGGAGTGACGCTCTGGCCAGTGACTGGTTTCCAGGAGCTCAGGAAGACGCCAGTAAAAGTGTCCCAGGTTGCCAACAGCTGGGTGGGGAGATGTGTACGGCCCTTACAGATCTCCAAACCTGGCCCTTAGCAACCAAGGACACTCTGGCCAGAAAGGAGGTGGCGCACACTGCAAACATTGTGCAACAAAATGGCCATGCCGCTCTACCTGCTGCCCCCCCAATGCGATAAAAAGAGATGCCGCCTGAGGCAACAGCCTCATTATAAGGATGGCCCTGGCAGCACCTAATGAAACACAGTATTGTGAATGGGCCCTAAAAAGTAAGTGTTAGTACCTGAATTCTACTTGGCATAGGCCTCCTCTCATCTCCTATGCAGCAGAGCTGGGTCAACCCATCAGGTGTGCCGCATGGGCATGTTCTTATAGGAGGAGAGAGCCGAAATGATGACTCATCAGTCTTTATTGACCCTGGGGGCGGGGGAGATGACCAAGCTTTATTGCTTAACTGCAGTAAAGAGACTTCAGGTCACCAGCCTGGCTGTGCTTACTGGCAGGACATCATTTGCTAAGCCAAAGAGCTCTCGGATATCGCTTGCCCGGAGTCCAGTAATAAAACGATGTCGGGGCTTCACCAAACGGCACATCTTTCAGCAAAACCATCAGACACCTGCGGGACTTTGACTGACAATAATTAAACCCTTGGTCCCGGGGAACGCCGTGAGTCCGTCAGGAGGCCACAGTGAGTATGTGAAGAGGCTCAGGTCAATAAAAGGTGACAGTCCTCAGCACCCGGCCCTTTGATAAATGCCTTCATAAATGTATTTCAATCCC